AGGGGCCAGGCGGCTCTCACCCCACAAGGCCAGGGATTGCACTTCTGGCTCTAGCATCATCATCATCATCATCATCATCATCATTGCCCCCTTCCTCTCTACCAAGTGGTCTAATTGTAACTTGAAGTAAGTATTTTTACTTTCCCCTTCCACAAATGGAAAAGGGACTTCCAGAGTGGTGAACAGACCTACTCAACGTTGGAAAAAGTAAAAAAGGCAGTAGAACAAGGACTCGAACCAAGGTTGTCTGAAGGCGGACCATGAAGTGATGAGCTCCACATAACACCTGGGTTGGCCATCTTTCATCGTCCGCTGCAAGCAAAATCCTTCTCAAGATCATTTTCAAAATGGCCTGAGGCTGGGGCACTTCTGCCGGCCAGTGGCACACATGGGAGCACTTCCCCCAAGTTTGTCTTTTGAGGCAAGGGCTTTGAAGCTCTGTCTCATATACTTTAAGCACATAGCCAAGAGGGACCAGTCCTTGGAGAAGGACATCACGCTTGGAAGGATGGAGGAACAGCACAGAAGAGGAAGAAGACCCCAGATGTGATGGATTGACACAGTAACTAGGATAATGAGACTCAGTGTCAGACTCAATGAGACTGGCTCAGGATATGACAGGATTAAGAACTAGTTTACATAGGGTTGCTATGAGCTGCAGGTGACTTGATGGCACATAACAACATCATATTAGTTTGCACATAAAAAATTCATATGCATTCTGTTCCACACTTCCCTTCATTCACATTGTGTTTCATACAATCATTCCAATAACTTGTATTTTATAAAATTAATCATCATTGGACTGTGCCCACCATTACCCTGTCTTTTCAGGTCCCTGTCATATCTTTCCCATTTCCTTTACCCCCTCCCTCCATTCACCAAATTGTGTGACCCTATTATTTCCCCCCTGCCCACCCTCACCCCTCTGCTACCACCCTTTCCCCCTTGGACGCCCATACACATAGTACTTGTTATCCTTCTATTTTTACAGTAATAGTCTTATGCAGCATTTGTCCTTATGAGACTGAGCTAGTTCACTCATGCTTTTGCATATTCAAGAAAAGTAATCATCTGTCTGGTGTTGTCTGCTTTCAGCCAACATCTGGTTGGCATCAACAGTAATGGCCCTTATTCTACGGCCTCTTCTGAATACAACTTCAATTTCTGGCAGCTCCCTATTGATATACTGCTCTAACTATTTTTTTAAAATCTTTAGCAAGATTTTTATTGTGTGTAATATAGATGATACTATTTGGGAATGTCCATATACTTTTGATTAATTTTAGTTTAAACTTTTATTTGCTTTATTTGATATGAATTCTGCATAAACCATTGTCAATGTACATTTCTTAATAAAATTGGAATTCCTTCTAAGAGGCACTATATTATTTTCATCTGTGTGATCAACTGGTTTCCTACTGGATAATGTTTTTTTTTAAATGAGAACAAATATAGATCTTTTCCAGTCAATTGGCCTGATAACTCTCTTCCAAGTTTCTTGGCATAGACTAGTGTGAATATTCAGGGCTGTACCTGCACATCCATTCCTTCAGCTTTCTTTTTTGCCAGTGCCTTCAACAAAGTTTATATTCCTTCACCCGAGTCAATGGCTCTTGCTTATGTGCTACTTCCTGAAATGATTCAGTGTCAGTTATTGATTTTTGTTAGAGTGACTTTGCATTCATTCTATCATCTTTAGATCCTTCATGCACCATTCAGTATTTTGCCCATAGAATCCTTCAGTCTTGCAACTTGAGGCTTGAATTAGTTTATCAGTTTTTTCAGCTTAAGAAATGACGAGTGAGTTCTTCCCTTTTGGTTTTCAAACTTTAGGTCTTTGCACATTTCAGTAACCTACTTTGCTTTGTCTTCTGGACCTACTCTTTGAAATCTTCTGGTCAGCTTTCTTATTTTGACATGTCCTCCCTTTTCTTTAGCTTCTCTATATTCAAGAGCAAGGGGGGTTTTTTTCTCCCCCGCTGGCATTAATTTTGGTCTTTCTTTACTGTCTTATCAAGACCTTTGCTTTCTTCATGGTTGATATACTTGATATCATCCCACAACTGTTTATCATACATTTCAAAGACAAATCTTCAGTCTTTCTTATTCTTTGTCCAACTTCCACGTGTATGAAATTATTGAAAATAGCATTAGGATTTGGCACACTTAGATTTTCAAAGTAAAATCTTTGTTCTTCAGCACTTTAAAGAGGTCTTTTGCAGCAGATTTGTTCCATGCAATATGTCATTTGGTTTCATGATATTGTCTCCATGAGCTTGGAGTGTGGATCTAAGTAAAATGAAATAAACTCAGATTCATTGTTCAATCAAGTTGGAACTGACTCATAGCTGATCTTTCAATGGGTTTTTGGTAGGGTGGAAATCACAAGGGTGGAGATTGCTCTTCTCTCCCTTCCAGGAAGCCACTGATGCATTCAAATTGCCAGAGATGCCTTACCTTTGGATAGCAGAGTAACTCCGTATGGACCATGCCAAAGCTCCCCCAAGGTAGAGATACTAAAAAAAAAAAAATAGTAACTACAAGGCAGTCAGAAATAATTTAATTCCTTTTTTGTGTGAAGTTTGTTGGTAGTTCCTTCACAGATGTCTACAGTGGTATTTGTCTTGAAATAGTATTTTCAAACTTGTGTATTCCCGTTCTTTTATGCGTTCTTTTATGCTGCATCTTTGTAGTTCATGGCACTCTTGTTGATACTCTGTGGATACAGAAAGGAAGGTAGACTTTGATTCTCTTTCCTCTGGACAGAACCAGCTATTTCACGAGCGAGGTGATTATTGTGCCCTTTGCTCATTCTTATGTCATGGATAAAAAAAGATAATTGATTCTGAGATTATGCCTTATTACACTGAAATGGAAAGGATAAAGTAACTTTTGTTGTATACAAAATTTATAAAATGTGCAGTTTGTTTTTCTGTGTGGAATGTTCAGCTCCCATATTCAAAGACACTGACACAATTGATTTCACAAGAGCACCACTTCTTAACTAGCAAGTTTGTTTCGTGAGTCATAACAATTTCAATCAATTTCTTAAAAGAAAGTCAGTCTGAAGGGAAACAGAAAATAAAACACATGTATATAATTCTTAATATCTAAGTATTCCTTACTCCCTCAAGGAATTGTTCCATTTTCTTACACCGAGATACATTAATACTCTGATAAAATGCAAATATAATGTTCTGATGAACTCCCTTTGTTGCACTCAAGGAAAATGAATTCAGATGCATTTAATGTTGCAAAACAGAAACATATATTACACAATATATATTGAATTTTGCCTCCTCTTAGTGTGCTCAATACTTCATTCATTACTGCACACACACGCACAGGAGGCAGGAAGACTCTCGAGATGCATTGACACAATGACTGTGACGATGGGATCAAGCTTGGCAGAAAGCATAAAGATGGTGCAGGATAGAGCAAGGCTTTGATCTGTTGATCATAGGATTGCTGTAAGCCTTAGTTGACTTGACAGCAGCTAACGACAATAAAGTGCAAATAATCAGCATCATCTCAGATGCAACAGACAAGAAACAAATTTCATGTTAGGTATATTAAAACTTTCAGGATTTTTCCATCTGTTACACTAGTAATCTATTAAATTTCTCATTATCAATGTATTATATTAAATGTATGTTTGATTATGCCCACATGTATGTAAAGTATGTTTTAAAGTTATTGTTGTTAGGTGCTGTTGAGTCAAGTTTGACTCCTAGCCACCCTATGAATACCAAATCAGAATGCTGTCCTATCTTGTGCCAACCTCTTTATCTCTGACACACTTGAGCTCATTGCCACAGTCACTGCAAATCCACCTGGCTGAGGCTCTTCTCCTTCTGACCCTTTGCTTTTCCACACCATCATGTCCTTCCTTTTGTAGCAACATGCCCAAAGTATGTGAGACCGAGTATTCCTGTCTTTGCCTCCAAGAAGCACCTTGGCTGCACCCTCTCCAAGACAGATCTGTTTGTTCTCCTGTCCTCCCATGGGATATTCTGTGCTTTTCTCCAACACCACAGCTCAAAGGCATCAATTCTTCTGTCATCCCTATTCATTGTCCAGCTCTCAGGTGCACAGCTAGTGATCAGAAAGATCAAGGCCTGAAACTTGTGCTCAAACTGACATCATTGCTCCTCAATAATTTGGAGAGAGGTCCCTGACTGCAGACTTTCCCAGTGCAATATGGCTCCTGATTTCTTGACTGCTGGGACCAAGGATATTGATTGCTGACAATTTCAATCTTTTCTCCATCTATTATAATGTAACCTATTGGTCCAGTGGGAAGAATTTTTGTTTCCTTGATATGTGCCCCTTGATAGGGTGCTGCCCTATCCCCTCTGGGCTTTCTGCCTTCTGTTTTTCACTTCAAAAGGGTGCCTATATTGGAAAGGCATTTTCCCAGGCCCTCTCTAGGCCACACCAAGACCCTGGGGTTAGAGGACATCTGCGTTTTCCGGCCTAGGGCCTCAGTCTGCTTCTCTGCTGGAGTGCCCTCCCCTCACAATCAATGGTTTGGTTTTAGAAAGTCACTCGATTTCCCTTCCTTCCTGGTGCCGAGGACAGTGCTGAGGCCACCAGGGAAGAAAGAAGGCAGGAAGTCTGCAGGGCTGCTAGGGGACAGGGACTCAGCGAAACAACGAGGTGCAACAAGTGGGCGGGGCAGCAGCACAGCTGCCGGTGCGGTGGGGAGCCCCAGCCCCGGCCCCCCCAGCCCCGGCCCCAGCCC